TCGCAACATCGTTTTCATGAAATATTGAAAGGACGAGAGGGCGGGGAAAAAAAAACGATGAACAAAAAGCAAAAGAGAGAAAGAGAGAGAGAGAGAGAGAGGAAGATTTAAACATAAATATTTGTTGAATAAATTTCTTCTCTCTCTCTCTCTCTTTTTCTTTTTCTTTTTCTTTCTTGTTTAGTAACTTTCAATTATATCAAACTATATAGTGAATTCGTTTCGATTTCAGTTAACTCAGAAGTTTCAAGTTAACTTCTCTATCTATATGCATAGTTACATAAATACATATGTACATACATATATATATATATATACATAAGTATACATTGAACGTAATGATAGTAGTTGACTTAGGACATAATATGAAACATGATCCAAAGTTTCTACTCCTTTTACCTTCTAACACAAATACCTTTAGAAGTTCTTCTCTCTCTCTCTCTCTCTCTCTCTCTCTCACTTTCTCTATCTATCTATTTATCTATCTATCTCTCTTTCTCCTCGTTAATCGTTTAATGATATTTCTACTTAGGAACATTCTATTCTCAACTCATTGTTACCTCGTCGTATAGGCCTTTTACCTATTGTCTTATATCAACAACATTGTTAACTTACACCTACACATCCCTACACATATCAACACACATATATATATGGATATATATGGATATATATACATATATACATAGATGCCCACGTGTAATTACAATAATGAATATTCATATAAAGATCGTAAGCGAAGTATTTTCATAATTTTATTTAACGATCTATTATCGCTTTCTAATTAATACATGGCGAATGATATATATGCATGATATATTATAAATTGCGAGGAAAGAAAGAAAGAAAAGAAAAAGAAAAAAAAAAAAAAAGAAAAAAAATTATTTGTCATTCTTCGTTATAGCAAATTATTTTTTTTTTCTCCTTTTTTTTTTTCTCTTTTTTTTTTTTTGACATTTTTATTTATATATATATATATATATATATTTGTGTATTTACGTAAATACGTGCACGCGACAGAAGGCAATATATGAGAATCCATTTTTTTTTCCTTTTTTTTCGTACTGCTTACTCATACTCTCTTTATATATATATATATATACAAACAAACACACATACACACACACACACACACACACACATATATGTGTATGCATTTTTTGTACATGTATAAAAATTTAATTTGTTTGGGAGTGATATAGATTATGTGGGTAAAGGAAAAAGAAAAAAAATAAATAAATAGAAGTAGAGTATGAAGGGAAATATAAATTTCTCATTTTTCTTTCGTTTATGTATGTATATATATATATATATATATATTTTTTTTTTTGCGGTTTTTATTCACGAAATTCCTATCGGAATTCTTCGAAAATTTTCCACGGCCAAAGATATCCCAAAAATTTAACGAATACTTTTCGGTTTTACTGGAATAACTTTAACCATAATCTCACTACCTACGTATATATATACTTACATAAGTATATATATATGTGTGTGTGCGTAAAAAAAAATTCATTTTGGATAAGTGACAACGTCGAAAGTTTATACATTTAATTAAATTTTAATTGATTAAAAGAAATGTCTTCATTGATTTATCGATTATTCACAAATCATTGATAGAAATTTATTATTCTTTTATAATTATTTATTATCGTGAAACATGCACATATATCAAATACGATAAAAGAATTCAGATAATTAAGCATTAACTTTGCATAATGCAATTCATATATATATATATTCATATATATATATTCATAAATATATATATATATATATACATGAATATATACGTATTTATCAGTATATAAATTGATTAATTAATTAATTTGAAAGTGAGAAAAAGATAAATGAAGAAGCATATATTATATTGTATCGAATAGAATTATATATATATATATATATACATTTTTTTTTTTTTCATATTTCTGGTAGTGACAAACTATAACGATTATTAACAATAAAACAAAATTGTTCATACTCGTAATACTTTCCTCTCTTCTCTCTCCCCCTTCTCCTTCTTCTCAATCACCATCGTCCTCTTTTCCCCCCCTCTATCAGCATCCTCTTTCCATTAGGTTTTGCCTTACACGCCCACATCGATCCGCGTACCATTATTAGTCTCGAAGGAAGGGTGATAATTAACGGATATGCCATTAATTATCACTTTAATCGAAAATTATTTAACTTAATATTATCTTATCGTAATATGCCATTTGTATTAGTATCATCTTATCGAGAGATAATAATAAAAGATAATTGTTAATTCAAACGTTCGATTATTAATAAAGAAATAATCGTGATTAATTGATTAATTGAAGAATTAATTTATCATCAATATGATCTTGAGTATTGAACGTTCATGCTTTTTTTTTTTCTTTTTTTTTTTTTTTTGACATTCACATAAATAAAACATAGAGATGGTACGATACAATGATAACAATTATTTGTCCTTACGATTTAAAATTTTTAAATGAATAAATAAATATATTAAAAAGTG